CTCTAGGAAATGAGCTGGAAGAAGTTAGACAGGAAAGGTTGGGAATGACAGACACTGTGGTGGAAGGGCCTGGGGCTCTTCTTGTCCCTAAGACAGCGTTTGCAGGGAGTGGTCTTGCAAATGCCCCCGATCTTATATTCAGATGTGAATGATGAGAGGAATGAAAGATTAAGTATGATTGGATGCTTATTGGATTTTATTGTTATTAATTCTATCTATCCATGAATTAAGAAAACCACCGTCTGACTTAGGATTTGGCCATAGAGAGAAAAGCTGTAGGCAATAGCAAATGCAAAGTCTGAGAGTCTTAGAATCCATAAAATGAATGAAACTGTTAAGGTGATCTCAGCTGATGCATTATTTTGTTTTCCAAAATATATTGTCCAGGCAAAGTATTGAATGACCAGGGGTCAGAAGAATTACCATTTAGGAGAAGGGCTTGCTCAATTGAACACCCTTGATTCCGGGGACACACAGCCTCTGCCGGCCGGGAGGCAGGCTGGTGTGCATTGTGCAAGCAGCTGAAGCTCCTTTTTAGAGGGACAAGCACTCTGTCTCTGGAGGGCTGTGGCTCCTCCACTGACATGTGTTTGTGGTTAGCAGACTATTAGACTAGGAATTTGAAATTTTCCTTTATAAATAAATATGTGTAAAATTTACATAGGCGTCCAATCCGGTGAGGAAGGCATATCCGCATGGATCAGGAATTCATTTTCCTGCCAGAGTGCAGCGGTGCTGTGGCAGCCACCAGCAAGCTGCGCATGCTGAAATGAGGCAGCACCCAGCTTCCCACCAAACAAATAAGTCCTGCACTCACTGGGGACTTGGCTGATGATTTGTTTTTTTTCCAGCCCATCATTTTAATATTTCAAAATCTTAAGCTAGCTCCAAACATTACTGCAGGATATCTTCCAAAATTCAAGAGGAAAAATGTGATACCTACCTAGGAGTGTCAGTTCCCTGGGAGGTAACTCAAGTCAGTTAAAGTGATGTAAAGAAGTGTTTCAAATAAGAGCATAATCAGCACCTTCAATCTGGAAGGTATTGGAAAAGACTTCCCATGTCAGTCGGTAGGGCTTTTAAAAAGATCAAGTAAAATAATGTGGGAAAAATAAGTTTCTATCACCTATAAAACATCATTACAGAAAAAGCAGGCTTCACCATTGGTACTGTTACTAGGGACCTGTAATACGCAGATATTTGCAAATTTGTTAAGAGTCTACTTGTAGCAGGCAATATGTACAAATGTGGAGAGAAGAAGACCTAATTTATGCCCTGAGGCTTCATTCAATTTAGAAAGACATAATATAACATTACAACTCAGGCAATTTAAAGATGCCACTAAATTGTCTAGATGCCCGTGGGATAGTGAGTCCTGCACTGTACCTTGGTGCTTCGCACACGTTCCATATTCTTTGGCTTTTTCTTTTCTTTTATAAAAGTCCCATTGGCTTTATGCACCACAGTAGCTCTTGGCTCCAACATGGTGCTATCAAGAATAAAGCCAATTAAGTTGAAGCAAAAGTTAGTGGGATTCGCATCAAAGGCGAGTTGCCATGCCCATCAGAGAAGTTCTCCTCTCTATTCTATGATTCTAGCCAACAGCAATGTGTCTGGGTGTAAGACTTAGTGGGAGAAGAGAAGGGGTGAGAGGCTAGAAGTGGAAGTGGGAATGTCTCTGCAGACCGAGCCTTGGGATAAACCTCACCTGCTTCTCCTAATTGTCCACTTTTAACTGTGAGACTTTCTTCCTACATTATATCTGTGTACTTATGAAATTCTCAGCATCTTAATGCATAAGCTGTGTCTCAGGGGACCTGGGTCATCCTTTTTAAATTATGTGTGAGGAAGGGGATGTAGCAGTTGTGAAGAAGCATTCATGGTGACCCAGCCCCAGGTGACCACTAAATCTCATCTAGTTGCATCTGGAGCTTCACTGGAACAGTAGTGGAATTGGAAACAGAAAGAGCTGTCCGTTTCAGGTCTTGGCATCCAAGTAAACAGGATAAGCTTCCAGCAAAATGCTTGGAGTGTTAACACAGACCATAGATATTCATTGAATAGAGGAGGAACAGATGATTTGGGTGTCTCCTCTTAGTGCCACTCTTACCCTCATCCCTTACTAGTCCCTATCTCTGTCATTGGACAGGTTTCTTTAAATCAGTGAGTCTCAGGCTGATCACCCAAAGCCTTAGGCCTAAGCCACTCCCCACTGTCATTCTGTTTGGCAACTCTCATAAATCTTCATAGAGATCTTGGGCTTGAGTGATAAGGGATGTGGCTGCCCCAGATCCCTCCTCCTTTGCCTGGGGAAGAAGAGTCAGTGTGCCCTATAGGCTTTCTGAGTTTATCATCTTGTTTCTCTGCATATCCACCTCCAGTCACAAGTTCTGCTTCATACAAGGCCTGACCTGATGCTGGGCACAGTTTGCCTTTGAAAAACTTGTTCTCTGTTGAAGAGGTTGGTCTCTTCCTCAACTGGGAGGGACTCTGCTTGTGAAAGTTGTTTTTGGTTGTCAACTAGATGAGCTGGGCAGACTCCTAGTGATCAATAAAACACTGCTGGCTATGATGAGTGGGGCTGGGATGTGACCCTGAAGATTATGTCTGGCCCCTGGCCCCTTCCTCTCTAGCATCATTGCTTTGTGTTCTGCTTCCCAGCCTCCACGAAGTGAGTGGCCTTGTGCCACTGTGCCCTTCTGCCATGATGTTCATGCCTTGGGGCCAGCTGACCATGGGCTAGATCTCTGACACCATGAGCTAAAAGTAAGCCATCTTCCTCTAAATTACGGGTGCCAGGTATTTTGTTCCAGCTATGGGAAAGCAGACACATGCATTGCTTTCAGGCTCTGTTTCATCATAATCACTGGCAGTGCCAGGGATGTATCTCATACAATTCTCAAAACCAAACTAGCAAATAGGTTGAAGTCATTCATTCATTTAACAAATGTTACTGAGAGCCCACTGTGGGTCTGACATTAAAAGGGCTTTACATACATTACTATGAAGCTCTCTGATCCCTGCTTGAGTAGGGCTGATATAATAGGGCAAAGGTAGGTGGGTGGGGTGGTGAAGAATAAAAAAATTAAAGAAAACTGTATTTCTTGGGCCATGTCAACTTATTTGCCATGTAGGGTCTTTTATCTTCACATTCATTCAATATCTTTAGAAGCACACAATGTTCTAGGCACTGTATTAGGAATTAGAGATACACAGATCAGTGTCTCTCCCTCAAGATGTTTGCAGTCCAGATAGAAGCTGTGGGAAGCCATGGACAAAAGTTCAAGCATAGTGGAAGTGCTGTTCCGGTGTGTGTGTGTGTGTGTGTGTGTGTGTGTGTGTGTGTGTGTGTGTGTGTGGCCAGGGACAGGCACAGCGACCTCACACTGGCACCTCCAGTGTCCTGAGGCTGCTAATTGTCCACAGTCCCTGCTGTGGCCCCCAGAGCTGCCTTCTGTCCTGCTTACTCCTCCTCCTGCTCCTGGCCACATGTCTCCTGGCCACCAGGGCTCCATTTCTGATCTGCTCGTGCTTCACTAATAGTAAGAAAGCCTGACAGAGTGCCACACACACGAACACCTTGAGTGCTAGTTTTGGGAGGATGGTTTCATTGCAGGAAGTGGCCTTCTGGGGACAGATGCAAAGGGGAGTGAGGGAAGGGCCCTCAGGCTGCAGCAGGCAGTGTCCTGCCCTCTCATCTTGGAAACCTCCCTCCTCATCTGCATGATGCTTTGCGAAGCCACCTCTGGAGTGAAGACATTTAGAGGCTCACAGCAACCCCAAGGACCTAAGAATCCTTCAGATCTCAGCATTAGTTGAAGCAATCCTTAATAGTATGCCAGCAAACCATTTTAGGGAGCTTGGGGACCCCTGTCATCCTCAGTTAACTTTGCATGAACATGCTAAGTGCATTTGCTCCCTGAAGACAGGCCTATGGCTTATTAGATTTTGTAAAATTTAGAAAATATGGCTCTCATTTTCAGTGATAGGCTGAGGGTCTGGAGATGAAATATTTGCTAGAGATTATGTGTGTAGGTCCAGGAGGAGGGGAAAGCTTGAGGAGCCAGCGCAGACAGGATCTCATGGATTTTGCTGCCCACGCCAGCCTTCCACCTATTCCTGCATTTAGGCCTTTGATCCAGGACCTGGGACAATTGTACTGTTCACTGTGGCCATGCCTGCTCACCTCCTGCAATGGAGTAAAGAGTCCTGTATGAAAGCCTTTGTGGGGAGCTGGAGGAGTCCCAGCTCCTTCCTGCAGCTACAGATGTCGGCTGACTTTGAGCTGAGCTTACAATTTGTCGTGACTTTTGAAAGAACAGTGCTTCCCTAGGGGCAGTGTGGGCCTCTCAGGAATTTGTGTGGGGACGTTGTCTGGCTGCAGAGAACAAGCATTGAGCTGTGCAGAGATAAATCACTGGAGTGAGCAAAACCTCAAAGGTTGACACTTTTAGATCTGTTTGTCCAAGGCAGAGATTCCTGACTTGTTTGCTGACCAAAGGAGTGGGGACAAGTAGTGTTATGAATTATCACGATAAATACATATACACTCTGCTAGTCAAGTAGGAAGCTGGCTCAGGAGAAAGTTGATAGCAGTCATGGAGAGAGAAAGGGATAACATGGTACAAGGTGTGATGGCAAACTGATCCAGAAATGGAAGCATCTTTCCCTCCGTAACTGTATATACTAAACTCTAGCCCATGAAAGGTTGCTTCTCCCAGGGAGATGGCAGTATGATGAGGTCGAAACCAGGTCCTGTAGCCTTGTTTGTGATGAGTAATTGCCATGATAGAGGGAAAAAGCATAAGGACAGGATTCAGTGGCTCAGCTCAGGACTCGGCACCTCACGCTGGACACAATGGCATGTCCTTTGATCCCAGCACTTAGAGAGGCTGAGGCACAAGGGTCCTAAGTGTGAGTTCAACCTTAGCAAATTAGCTACTCTCAGCCAACTCTAACACCGGGGGGCACCAGGGATTGGATTTGGCTCTCAGACTCACCAGCAGGAATATGGGCATCTCTTGCTGTAGCGACAACAGTAAAACTGCCACTCCCGATCCAGCACTGACTCGAAGTATCGGCTCTGGAAGCCCGCCACCAGTCCATTGTTGGAGCACGTCTGGTACCTGCAGAGAAAAGGAAAGACACCGGGAACCTGAGACACCGATACGTGCTAGATGCCCGCCCACCACATTTGCGCTCTTTCCCTGACTTAGATTTCTAATAATATATTGCATTTTAATATATAAATGATGGACTTTGCTCTACTTGTGGGAAAGACATGTGCTCACTATTAAAATTTAGATGATTGATTCAGAATCTTTCAACAGAAGGAAGTTTAGGGGTCACTGATCTGATACACTTCTATGAGTATGTAATTAGATGAAAGAATACATAAATGGGTGTTATGAGTATTACAACTAAATTGTAATACTCATAACTCAAATTGTAGCACAATTCATGACATTTAAACTAAAACAATAGCTGGTGGTGCATGCCTGTAATTCCAGCATTCGAGAGCCTGAGGTAGGAGGCTCACTATGAGTTCGAGGCCAGCCTGGGCAACAAAGTGAGCTCAAGGCCAGCCCAAATTACATAGTGAAACCCAGTCTCGAAAAGACAAAAAATAAAATAAAGTAAAATATAACAATATAAGTTATTTTATTTGAATTTAAAATGAAGAGGACAAAGTGAAATATTATAAATTGGTGAAAGCCAGACAAACATTTCACTGTCTCCCATAGAACCCACGAAGCAAGATGGGTATGGTGACCTTTCCTTGGCTGTCCAGTGGAAAGTGAGCACACACCCCAGGTTCTCACCACTTCGCTGGGAACCTTTCTACCACCCATCAGGCTGTAAGCTCCACAGGCTCTCAGAGCTCCATCCCCAGCACCTGAAGGCCCTTGTATATGGAGCACTCCTCACAGAGTAGCAAGAGGCCAGCTGAACGTGAACCTCCTCCAGTCTCTTTATGCTGAAATTTCATCTAAATCCTCCAATAAAGTAACTGCTCCACTCTGGTCCACCATCCAGAGGAAAGTTCTCATCTTGGTTCTTCCAGTGCTGCTGTTAGTAGTCTAGAAATCAGCCTCTTCCATCTTTTTGGCACTTTGCTAAGGAAGTGTTGCACTGGAACAGTGCACTCATTTCTTTCTTTTTTCATCTTCAACACTCTGTCTCTGATTCTCCAGATCCCACAGTAAGGTTTGCTACTTTCTGCTGAGATGGGAATTTGCTATTTTCTTCTTGGATATGGTGGGTTCCTACTGTATGCAGAACACCATGTTCTACAGAATACCTTAGTTTGCTCTCCACTGCTATAGGGGAATTCCAGAATGACTTATAAAAAACAGGTTTACTTAGCTCATAGGGAGGGAGGCTTAGAAGCCCAAGAGCATGATGCTGGTGTCCGTCAAGGGCTTTCATGTTGCGTAACGCAGTGGAAGGTATCACAGGGCAAGGCACGGCAAGTGTGCTAGTTTGGATCTCTTTTTTCTCACAAAGCCACTATTCCTAGACACTAATGCCTTGGTGACATCATCTGCTCCTACCCACCTGCCAAAGTACCACTTATCTCATTTAAACTTGGGGATTAAGTTTCCAACATATGAACTTTGAAGAACAAACTCAAATCGTAGCACAAGCCTCTGTCTAAGATGGGTCTTTGGCTACCTCTGTTTTTCAACTAGATGACTGATCTATAGTCTCTCAGGAATGGGAAGAGCAGGCAGTAGTTATGTATGTTCACAAATAGAGGTACATCTCCAGAAAATATAGATAGAGTAAAAATAAATACCTGTGATGATTACTGAGAGAACTTGTTGACTTGAACAATAATACTTTCAGGAGCTAAATTTTGGTTTATCCTTTCTCACTGCTAGAAATGAACTTGTAGATCTGACAAAAGTGGGAATTAAGCATATTGCTTGTCTCTAGCTAGAATGTGTCTGCCCTCTGCATTCATTATTCATCTACTCATCCACGCACATAGGTACGTTTGAATATGCATTTATTTATTCACGTGTCCATCAAACAACTTATACTCTGCTACTATTCTGTATGAATCACCTATCCTGTGTCAGGAGAAGCACTGAGACACACACTTGGTGCTTGGTTAGTCATGCTAGCAAGACTTGTAAGAAATTATGATAGACTAGAGAACTCAGCTATGGGAGATCAGTAATGCAATTTAAGATGTAAATTGAGACCTAAGTTTCTTTTAGGATTTTTACCGTACCATGGCTCACATCTTTCTAAATTTTTTTTAAGAACACAAAATGATAAGATAAAAAACAGCATTAGAAATGATACAAAATTTCACTAAACATAGTCATAGGAATTCAACAATGGCTGCTATATTGCATGCTAATATCTTCAAATTAGTTGTTTAGGTTACAAGATATAAATGTGCAAGATTGGTTTCAAGAAAAAACAAAACAAAACAATATCACTTTGTAAATGCTTCACCCATTTTTGGAAGCCACAAGATTGAAAGGGACTAGGAGGGTCATAGCATGGTAGAAAGGTAGCTTTTGGGGCTGACATTCCAAGAAGATCTATTTATGCTGCTTCCTAGCATTGTGGGTGAGAGGCCACTTTGGTATGTTCTCTAAGAGTCATAAGCAAAGCTCTTGTATGTCCCAAGAAAGGAGCAGCATGCTGGTACTGGATGGGACTTCTCTTAAGATACTGCCTTCCTCCTTTCTGTAGTGAGGTGGGCTATGGTTTCCTGGGAGGCATTACACTGTTTTGGCTTGTCTTGTACACTCTGTCTCTATATAGGAACAGAATTCCCATGGTGGTAAGCTCCCCGAAGTAGAAATAAAATAAGAAGATGAGAGGGCCAATCTCCCGAGGTACCCATTCTGAAGATAGTCCAAGCTTGTGAATTCCCCACCCATTGTCAGATAGCCAGTTCCATGTCACTTGTTCACCTTTATTCCAGATAAAGTGGTCCCTACAGGATCCAAGTCTAAGATGATTCTATGACACATAACCAAGAATTTGCCTCTGACCCGTGCTCCAGTTTGATTGCCTACACGTTTTTTGTAGAGCAAGCCTACTTGGAAATCTGGTAGTGTGGAACCCTTGGTTCCAGAACTGAAGCTTTTCAAAGACACACATTCCCAGTGCGGAGAGCCATGTGGCAGAATAGGTAAGAGCAGGGGCACTGCTGTGGGACTGCTGCTCCCCTGTGTCACCCAGGATGGGTTCTACCCCTTTACTGAATAGCCTTGGTCTCTGCAACTATAATGGACAAAATAATATCACATACTTATTCATGTTATCATAAAGACCAAGTAAGACAATGTATACTAAAACCCTAAGATAGCTATCTTTCAATGCCTAGGACAGTGGTACTTTGGTCCACAAATTTAATTCTTTTCACAATTCTAGTTATAAGCTAATTACAAGCATACCCAACTAGAATCATGGAACAAATTCTGTGACCAGAATCCTTCACTTTTTAGGATTCCCACTATACATGTAGCCTACACAGTAAGTGGGAGTAGCCTTTGTGGAGCTGCCTGTGGCTCTGTGTCTCAAGTCTAAACTGCAAGGGAATTCATGTGTGTTCCCACCACTGCTGTCTCCCCATGACGAAGTTCACTATGTTGGATGTCTCAGTCAGCCACTCCTGAAGATAGATGCTTTAGTATGTCTTCTCATCCCCTATGTATAGTATAGTCCTTGAGGGAAAAGTTCACATAATCTTTATTGTGTACTCCTCATAAGGCCTGACACTTGTCCAGCAAATGCTTAATGGAAGAATGAACACACAAATTGACTTGGAAGAACCCATGCTGCAAGGCCATGGAAGGCTCTGAGACTCCCTCCTACCAGTTCTGTGGAAGCTGGACGAATATTCTATCTTCCTGCTCCTGCCTTCCTCTCCCTCAAGAACTAGAATATATGGGTACAAAATGAATATAGCTTTGCAGATTCCTCTTCTCTGCACCATTTCTCTTCCTCTTGGTTCACTTTTAAAAGCTCCTCTATAGCAAGACTAATCTGAACATGGGCCATGGCTCCAGGACTGAAAACACAGGATCTGAGCCAGTAAGAAGAAATTTCAGGGTCACTGGCAGGGCTGGGGGAGCTAGAACGGCTGCTGTTGCTAATGTGACTCCAAGGCAATTTAAAAGGAAATAGTGCTGTATCCAAAGACATGCCCGAGGGAGGTGCACCTTCCCTTTTTGGTCTTGAGTACTCTGCAGATCAGAGTATGAGCCAAGACTGCAGCTTGTCTAGTGATTTGCCACATGCCCCCAGCAGAGACTGCATGGGGACATTCCTTTGAGTTACGAGGGCAAAGTGCCCTGCTTCGGAGCTCTCTTTTCACCATTGCATGGAAGGCTGAAACTCAATTTCAGTTTCACACACTACAGCAATATTAGTTTTGCCCTGCCTAACACTAAGAACTCTGTAGAGGGAAAATCATGTGGCGATTGCTCTTCCTATGACAACATCTTTAGATCTGCCCTGAGAAAATGGCCTTTCTGCAGTGGGTTAATCTCAGGGCCATCACCTTGGTTGCATAGAAGACTTTCTGTATCTGCCGAAGTAGAACAGAAACAGCAGGCTGCAAAGAAAGAGCCCACACTATAGAGTCAGCAGCTAGGGTTTCTAGTTCTGGCACTGGGCTCCTGTCACATGCCTGGGCAGCCTCACCTGTGCCATTAGGAGGACTTCATGAAACAACATGCAAATAGCATCTATTCTGTCCCTCTTTGTGTGATTTGTGGGATTTCTCTTTGCTGCTCATATTCTTTATCCAGGCCAGAAATGTTGACAAGAAAATGATAGAAACCAGAATGGGAAAGAGTGTGAGCACTTGGTTTTGTCTACAAACTTCTCTATGGCATTTTAGTCTCTCCTTGTGGTTCCTGCCAGTCTCAGTTCAAACTTAAAGAAAGTCTGAGCTCTTTCGATGCCCTTGTAAAGTTGGAGGAGGGACTAAATTGGACATAAAACAGATTAAACAGACATAGTACAATCTTGGTCAACAGCTCTCAAATTTTATAGAATGAATAGACTATGTACCGGTGCTTTTCCTCCCAGTGCTATAAACACAGATGTGTTTCCAAGGCTATGAGAGCTCTCCCTGTAAGCCAAGCCGGTG